GAAAGAGAGCACTGCTTCCCTAAGAAACACAAAATACAGCATCCGTAGAACTTGACATGTCAGGAGGTAGTTTATACCGAAGATGAGATTAAGAACTTTTCTAACAAAATTCCTGCCTTGCTGCTATATTGATGGCAAAGGAAAGATTATGAAAGGAGGGTAATGAAGTCAGGCAAAACTCAATGCTATTCCTTGCTTCACTTAGGTGATTAAGAAAAAGCTTTACATTTTTACAATTAATTAAAAAAAAAATTTGGTAGTTTTTGGGTTCACTGTCCTTTCACGTTCACTTTGTCATGTGGGATAGGGGCTATGGTTTGAGGGATTCTTGCTTATGTGAGGCTCGGTTCTCTTAACATTAGTATATTGTGAAAAAGAAGAGGCAGTAAGAAGAGTTGTGAGAGGTTGAGGTATTTGACTAGGTCTCAAGAGACTGGACTGATTTCTTGGGTATACAACAGGATTTTTCTATTGTATCAGTGTGGAATTGTTGAATTACTTTATTCTATAAAGGAGTTAAGAGGATTCAGCTAATCTTGCTGCTCTTGTGCTAAGGTAGGAGATGTAAAAGTACTAATATCTAGGGTTTCGTGGTCCAGAATGGTTATTTGCCTTTTGCTGCTCAGCACAATGAACCCAACTCCCAGACCTTAGGGAATGTTACCTTTTTAAGATGATCTGTAGTGCTTAATTAGGCTGCTAATTCTCTTCTCCTCCTCTCCTCCCCCCCCAATTTTAAATTGAGTAAAAGACCATTCTGATATCATCTGTATTCAAAACATCATAGAAATTCGTGTACCTATCTGAAAAATCTTGGTAATGAGAAGATTTCCCTGAGGAAACACAGGAATTTTATTTCTGATTTTTACAAAACTCATTTAGTACCTCCAATGTGGTATGACCCTTACAACCAGAGAATTTTTTAGGGTGCCTTGCTTAGCTGCATTTCCCCCTCCCAGTTTGAAGTTCATAGGAGCGCAGGAAAATTTCATATCTAGTAAAATCACCATCCAATGAGTTATTTCAATCTAGTTCTTACTAATAGTTCACATTAAAGATTTTAGCACATCAGCTTCCATGCCATCTTCTTCGTAAATGAGACTTTAAGTATCCTGTAGTGCCTTGTTTGATAGAGAAGTAGAGATGATAGCCTAAAAACCAGAAATGTATTAAGAAGTCTCTTAATTTAATGAGGAAAAAAATCTAACCCAAAATTTTGTTCAATTAAAATTTAAGGCTTATGCTTTTATAATAATATAGTGGCATATTTAGTCCACTGGCTTATATGAATTTTTACCCAGAAAGTAAGTGATTTTGCTTAATCAGCAGTCAGCAGTATTGACCTAAAAATACTTTATGAATATTGGATGAATTGCTGCTTTAACACTGCTTTAACAGTGTATAATAAATAAACTCTTATTTAACTCATAGGCACATTACAAGAGAATTCAAGTTGTCCTAATTGAATTGGACTTCAGAAGTAACATTGAGTTGACCAAAAAAAAAAATTTGGTATTAATTCTTAAATTTTAATTTTTATTATAGGGAATGGAGTCAAGAATTGTAATTGTTCCACCAAATATGATTGACCAGGATACTGTCAGAACGTTCAAGGAAAGGTTTCTGTGTAAAGCTATGAAACAGATAACACATTTTAGAATGGATTGTTGCTGAACAAGTAAATGGGATAAGGTGGAAGGGAAGCTAGTTTCCTAGTAGGAAAGTAGGAAGGAAACATACAATTTCAGAGACTGTTTCAGGTTGAGTTTTCTAGAAAAACTGGATGCAATGTAATAGTAAGGGGTAAAGTCATATGCCTTTTGAGGATACTGCCTGTGACTTGAGTTGTGTTTAATGTATTAGTTAAGAATGGTATGAAGAATGTATACCTGACTTTCTAACTTGAAAAATGAAGTCTGAACTTGAGTCAAACTGGCCTTTGAAAGGCTGGGTTCTTAATTAGCTTTTTTTTAAACTGTTCTGATGGATGAAATGTTAATTTAAATGCTAACTTACTCTGATATCTCAAATATTTTCCCCATCTTTCTGTTTACTAGGCTCACTATTTACAGCCTCTAGTGGCTGTTCAACTAGCAATTAACTCCAACAGTACCAAAGAAGAAATAGCAATTGAGTGTAAGATCCTGGGCTCACCTAATTTAAAAAATGAAGATGATCGTGACAAGTTTCTGGGACGAATTGCCTTCAAAGTTCAGATGACTGAATAGCAGGAGTAAAAAATTCTCCACAAAGTAAACATTGTATTGTCTGTTTTGTATCAGCTGGACATACCATTCTAGGATATGAGACCACCTTGGAGAATGTTAAGGTGGTTTATGGTGTTCAGGGTAGCATAATAATATGCTTCCAAATTGTATGTTTAAAATCCCTCAAAATAAATGCCTATCCTGCTTCTGCCTGCCCCATTGGAACAATGTACAGACTATAGTTATGTCATAGGGACCTGTAAATAGCTGTTTTCAAACACATAATAATGGTGACCTTTGTCCTGTTCTAAAATGTGGTTTTATCCCCCAAGTGAGTGTCTCAACCTAAATGTGCTGTGCTATGTAAATATTGTATTGATTTAACACTGGTTTAACTGTCATATCTCAATGCTGACACAGTTATAGGGATAAATAATAAATGGTACCTGATTGACATAGTGACTTTTTGTAAAAGTAAACACCTCCAACGTAAATTGTGTGTATGGGAGTGGGTGGGTGGATGGATGGATGGCTGCGTGGAGATGCCTTAAATTGTAGACTGGGTGGCGTGGGAGAATTGAAATGGATTTTAAGAGTTGGTATGGACTTCTGAAAGTAAGTGCTCAACTAGTACTTTCTTGTGCTTGTCACTGTGCAAGTATTGTGTACATGTAATACTTGGTATAGAGTTTGGTATTCTAGCTGAAGAATTGCATCCTTCTTCGTGGTGTTAATTGCTTGCGATATGTGGAGCACAAATAAAAACTAGACAATATTTTAAAACTTTTTAGTTCAGAAATACCAATATACAACAATTTACATTGTTAGGGTCCTGGTAACAGTTGTACAACAGAGCTGCTTAAAAGAAATGGCTTCGCTATTGTGGGAACAGGCTTTCATTTTCCAATTAAAAAATTTCCTGAAGAAACTCTGTTTAAAAAAGAGAAAAAAAGGATTGTCTTGATTAAACATTCCTGTTTAATTTATATACTCTGTTTCGTTGCATCATTTTAACATGCTTCACATCTTCATCTCTTTCAACTTGGATTTTATGTGTATTTTCTTATCATCCATTTAGAAAATTGGTGTCATCAACTGCTTCATAGGAATATCCTACTGACTTGGAGTGGGTTACTTGTGGTTTAACTGAAATATTTTTGTTAATCCAGTTGCTAAAATGACTGCAAATAGACTGGTTTATTTGTGACTGCTCCTCACATTAAACCAAGCTGACCCATTATACTGAGTTACAACTTCAGCAGTTGTGCTGACATGGGATTTATATTACTCTTCCCCAAGGTTTTTGTTTGTTTGTTTTGGTCGTGGTTTTTTTGAGCATATGATCCACATTCTGATGTCTTGTCAATATTAAAGACCACAGCAAATCAGCATTTGTGTAAATACCTGTATGTTCTGCTAATTAGGCCTAAATTTGTTACTGAACATGCTTTTATGCCTAATTCTTATAGTGGTTTTTAATATTTTATTTAAATTAAATGAATGATTACTAAAATTCGAGATCCAGTCTTAATGCCCGGCTTTGAAAATGTTTGAGGCCAGTCTAAGCCACAGTAGTGCAAAACTTTAACACTTTTGGAAGCTTGCATTGGTGCACAGGTGAGGGAAGCTGCTCTTAATAGGACTTGAACAGTGTCTTGAACCTCATTAAAAAAGATTTATACTGCTCTGATACCATTCAGCATGCTTTTTTGTTGTCTGCAAAAGAAAAATTGTTGTTCCTACAATGTGCAGTGGGTACTTCTGTAATAATAGCATGCATTAATACTGAATAAGAATGTTCTTTCAAAGTGTTCTGTTACTAATGTGTTAAATCATGCACTTTTAGAGCTGGGATACCTGGGTTCTTGAAGATATGACTAATTGCTTCTCTGTATATTAATACTGCCTGGAGAGTATTTCAATAGTCCTGAGGAAACTTAAAGTGTAGATGTCGCATCTGAAGATGCAAAGGACTAGCTTAATGTAAAAAAAATTTCACATTTGTGTTCACTTAGGAATGGTTAGAAATTCTGGAGAAACACTCAGTTTTCAAATGAGCTGATTTTTGCAACAACTTCTCTTTTGACTTATCTATATAGACAAAGCATGAAATGGCAACTCTTCACCAGCACTTTTCAGACAGGTAGAACTCAATAAACTCCTGTTCTCCCTAGATTTTGTAGAAGTGTTGTTTTTTTGTTTTTTTGTTTTTTTGTTTTTAATCACATAAGGATTATCAGTTGGGGGGAGGGGGAGAAAGAAAAAACTTCTGAAAGGGTTTAGCTATCAAAATTAGCATGTAAAATGTATGTAACTAATTAAACTGAAATATTTCCTCATTTTTATTTCTGCGTCTTAAGAATTTAAGTAAATGATCTAGTAGTTATTTATAAACAGGTGTATTGACTATTAGGACATGATAAAATTATTAATTTTCTTCATGTGAAATTTACAGTAAAGATTCCTTGGACTTAAGTTATGATTAAAGATTTAAATTTACTACCTTGTTACCAGAAACTTGAAATGTTTAACTTTTATACTGGTAAATACTTACTTGTCTTATTTGGTGACTTCTAGTGCCTGCGAATCTGGAACAAGGACTTTTAAACATTGAAATTGCCAGTTGTTGCAGGTGCTGCTTCATACCACTATGAAAACCTACTTGTATCCAATTCAGCTGAGGTACCTTCTTCTCTATGCCATGCCCCACTCCCCCTGCCACCTCACACATGAACACACAGACATGGGGTTAAAGGGGAAGCTAAAGAGAAGATTGTTAAGGGGCAAAATTAGCTGAAGGTTTTATTTACATTGATCAGGCAGTAGATAAGGTGGTCCCTTAAGGACAGATGACATCTAGCACTGACAGGCAATTACTTCCTGCTGGGGATGATGCTGTCTTTAGGACACTAGTAATGAAAACAAAGACACCCTTTCCTTTTATACTGAACTGTCTTTAGTAGTTCCCAAGTGGTAGAGAGACAGAAATCTGGATGCAAATGAAAAGTAGAAGGGAGAGTTGTAGACTAAAGGAGTTGTGAATCTGTGCAAAGACAAGAGTTGGGGGGGCTGTTGCTTTTTGTTTATTTAATCCCCTGCACCCTGCCTCTCTGTCAGTAGATTTGCAAAGGAAAAATACATTTCTGTGACCAAGCTCTGCTGACTGATTTCCTACAATGTTCTAAATGCAACGTGCTTGGGAATCTGGCACTGAACCTGGATCTTCCCTATTTCACATTTTTTTCTACCTCTCTGTGAAGCTTACTCATCATAACTTTTGGCTATAGGAGACAAATAGAGCTTGAAGCTGAACATGAAGTTTTTCACACTTAAACATTCAGACTACACTTCAGTCTTCTTATAAAATGAGGTGGGTCTCCTGTGACGGAAAAAAAATTGCTTAATTCTATAATTTAAAGCTTAACTGAAAAATACTAGATTTAGATACTAAGAGTACGTGGGCAGCTCTGAATACAGATTTCTAAACCTCAGAATGCTTGAAACTTCAATCTTAAGTTTATCTTTTTGCAATTATTCAGAGCTTTGACTTCCCTGCTAGTGAAACATTCATCTTCTTGCTAGTTAGGCACTTTGTTAAAACACGTTGGCATTCATGCTAAATCTACTGTTAAATTACTGAAGCCTTTTAATGAATTTATATTAATATGTTTGTAGTCAGTATACCTGAGAACTAGTACTTTTTCTCTTCTAGGAGAAATCATTCTGTTAATACCATCTACCATGAAAAATCTTTAATTTAGATTATTTTTTTGGCATTGTATTAATAGAATATTCAAGGCATAAATGTCTTCAGAAACAACTGTTCAGTTTTGCCCATAGGTCAAATCTAGCTCTGTACCTGTTGAGAGTAGAAGAAACTTCACCTTACAACAGGCAGAATTCTGGTCTCCCTTTGCTACAAGCTGTTGCAAACTTGGAAATGGTCTGAAGCCACTATGCTTTTGACCTGTGTTGTACACTGGGGTAATATAATTATTTTACTCAGTTCAGCCCACCCTCTACATCAATACTGAGTTGTTTTTCTGGTTTGGTATTTATTTTTTTCTTTTAGGTAAAAATAAAGAATACATGTGAGGTTTCCTTCCACTTCCTTTACTTCTAAAGAATATGCTTTCTGTGTTGGAAGCTTTACTTGTATTAGCTATGCTGAGAGGATAAATAGGTGAACCAACTTTTAACCTAAGCTGTTTCATATCATGAGTCTTTGACCTGATGCTTATTTTGTCACAGGTGGTGTTGGGGTACACATGAAAAATGTGACTTATTTTACCTTAGAAGTTACCTGACTCTGAAGTCAAGTGTTGCTGACAAAGATTCTGTCATAGAGGCTTGATTTTACAGTAGTCTTAGTTGCCCCGCAGTTAAAATACATAGAGTAAATGTCATTGTCTTGCTAAAAGAAGCATTTTAATACAAAAGATCAGAGTGGGTTCCTCTGTAGGATACTTGCTATCGTTTTCCTTCCTGTCTAAATGGGAGGGAAGAAAATCAGAGAAAAGCTAAGCTCAAATTTCAGGTTATTGCAGTTTGAAGTCTGTTCATTTTGTGACTGTGATTCTTAACGTAAAATCAGTGCAACATGAGGGTTATCAGAAGCTTGCATGTCACTATGTAGTTTGTTTGGATCAAAGAGCTCTAATAATGACTAAAAGTAAGACTTTTTTGTCTCTTTAAATCTCAGGCAAGCACCTAAAGAAGCCAACAAAGGAAATTTCAGTTATGTTCACTAGCGTGTACTTAAATCTTTTTATGTGATGCAACTCCCAACAGTGAGTATTGCATGTAGCTGTGGAGGCAGTGCCTCATTTTGATTTTGCATTAACTGAAGGGAATTACTAAGAGTTTAATCTGCATTTGGCAACAATTCCTTTAAAGGCCTGATAGGTAGCGATGTATTTGAAACAAAAAATGTAATCCTGTATTTTATTTTAGAAAGTATACTTAGGTATGTGTGTTATGATTTAGGATTATAATCTTTTGAATATGCTTTACAGTTGTATGGAATAAAAATGTGTCCTTCCAGTACCCAAATATTCTGTGACTTGTGAGCATACTAATGTTATTTCTATTTTTCTGACACAAGAGAGCCCCTATGGTGATAACTCCTGCAGGGTTTATTGTCCCTAACAAGGTCTCTCTTAAACCTGCTGTGGTTATAGATTCTAACTTCAGAAACTGCCATTTCACTCCTAATTACAAATGGGACAGATGCACTTACTTAACACTTCAAATATTTTAATGGCTGTTACTTATTACCAAGTTGTCTGAACATTTCAAGTGTTCTTGGGAATGAGAAAAAGCATAATGCATCAGAGCTTGGGTGAGTTTTAGTGTAAAGAATGGTATTTGGTTAACTCCTGACTTCTTTTTGCTCCTTTTGCCTTTTAAGTTTAGGGAGAGGTTAGCATAGAATTAGCACAGCATCTGCAATTCTGAAAGTTTTTCTCTAAATTTGTTTGCATTTAGAAATTTAAACACTATGTACAAGTGGTAGTAAATTTCAGCCCATTTGGTTTAAATTTTAGTTTAAAACAAATTCATAGGTAAGGTATAACTGGTTACAAATCTTAATGTATTCCTACAAAAAGTTGCATGAGTGGCTCTGCCTAAGACTTTTCCCCTGGTCCCCCCACCCTCCATGTTTCAAGTGACTGAAGCCCAGCATAGTGAGACAACAAAGTAGAGAAGTTTAGCTGCTAAAGGAAGTGAATGAGATTCTTAATCTGAATCTGATTCTTGACTTGGTAAGAAAATAAGAGAAAATGCTTCTGAAAAAGTAAAGCTGAATTCAGATAAATTTCTCCAGGTGGTTGGGAGTGTCACTTCCCTTGCTGTATTATATGTATGTCCTTTCAGTGGATGCTGCATGGATGTATACGTTGCATGCCAAGAGCAAGTACAGTCTCCTGAGGCCAGC